CTGAATATGATCAGACTTTTCCTTTAATAACAGGAAAGATGCACAAATGAGCAGAACCATGAAGTCATAGTTCTCCATAATTCACCCCCCCCCCTCGACACATTCATCCCACAGCAGAGGTAGGAATTCAAAGTTGCCAAATCTTTTTTGTTTTTATTATCATTATTATTTATACCTTTTAACTTATTTTGGTTATTTTTTATAAATCTGTATAAACTTTAGTTGCTATAGCAACAGAGGCCAAACCGTCCTTTGTGCCAACCTGTCGTTTCTCGTGGGTTTACTGTGATTCTGTTCCAGAGACAGAAAAATGTGCTGCTATGATTTAGGATTGATCTTAGTTTACGTTTTGCTTTAAATCGTCGTTTAAAAAGAAAACGCAGTTAAAGTCGCGTTTTCCTTTCCAGTTGGAGGGGGGGAAAAGTCACCTTTCTCCTTGGAAAACTCGGCAGCCCTGAAGATACGTAGCTTCTCTCTGAAACAGGAACAGCTTTGGCCTTTTTTAATGTCCAGCTGAGGTGAGGCGTCCTGAACGCAGCTCAGCACAGGGAGCTCACCTTTCTGGAATCATATCATGTTTAACTAAAAGCACTGAATCACGATAACATGGAGTGACGCACATTCAGTCAGTTCAGCACCATTAACTGGAAACAAACCAGACTTCAATCATTCCCTGTAAGGTCTGATTATTGGTCGCTGTCCATCGGTTGGCTTATGCTTGGTGCGTTCGAGACGCCAATGCGCCGCAACCGCCAGATTATGTCATTTTAGCTTTGCTGTCTGTCTCCACGGAAACAGGAATTTACCAATAACATAATTGGCGGTCAGGGGCGGGGCTAGACTGAACATTAGAGTGTTGCTATCAGGCGGATGACCTGGACCGAACGTCCGCCATCTTTGATGGCGATATTAGAATCTGAGCTTAAATTCCAGCCAAACCCATTTAATCAGTAACAGATAAAAACCTTTAGATAAACCAAACATTACCGACACATATCTGACTCTATAACCATTAAAACAACTATTTCCATTGGTAGGGTGGTTGTAAACCAGCAGTCTGTGCCCTGCGCTGCCCCCTACAGTCTAACATTGGGTAAAGGAGGGAAAAACTACGGTGGCCCAGAAGTGCAAACTGCAACTACAAATCTAAAAGTGCAACTACATTAAGAAAAACGCAGCTACATTAAGGAAA